TCCAATCCAATTTCCATGTCATTTGTATGAGGGGCGATGGAATGGGCGATCCAATCGTGAGTCGTACGTACGACACCGTGTAGGTAACCTTTGGAGAGGTAGTAAGTATCGTTTCCGATATCCATATGGCTCGTACACCCCAATGGACGGCCACGGCGCGATGTACGAACCACCATATGGTGAATGGTAGGGGCATGCCACGTCAGATTGACCATCCGGCTACAGTACGAATTGATTTACTAATATGTCGCACCTCACCTTATTTAAATCATGACATTATTTTAATTTGATCAGTCAAATGTTACTACGTAGGAATAATGACATTATTTTAATTTGATCAGTCAAATGTTACTACGTAGTAGTAAGTACTACAGTACAGTAGTGATTGAAATGCATGTACTGTTCAAGTGTTCACTTCACAACTTACAGTGAACGCTTAGTATTAATCGTTCTATTAAATAGTGTGGATACACTCGTCGTTTATCGTACGGTATGCTGGACGGAAGGCAAGATGCAGGTTGCTGCTAGAAACGTAGCGATGGCGTGGATTCTGAAGTGTCACGCTGCAGTTCAAGGAAGAACCCACCCAGACAGGCAAGTGTTGTCCATCACGTCGAGTTGTTGTTGGTCGTCAATTTGAGCACAAAAGTATGCATGTGGTGGTCAGTAGTTGCACGCCCTTGTTGGCGTCAAACGCGACTGTGGACAGTGTGGCGACGACGCTCTTGTCGGCACTTCTTGATGTTCCGATGTCATTGGTTCGGTGGTCACAGCGGAACATGAGCAGCTGGCACCAATCGTCATCGCAGTATCGATCGACAGGGCTGGGCAATTGGCCGGAGGTATATAATATATACATTCTTTGTACACAGCAAGCAGCTAGTATTACTACTGTATCTCTTCCACATGCTCATTTCAAATGGAACATTAGACGACATTCTGCAAGGTCTGCATCACGAAAACGCACTAGCAGCAGGGGGAGGGGGCCACAACTTACATGAGGGCTCCGTACAACGAGGGGCTATTGCCGTCGATATTCCTGTAGTTTTTTACAGTAGTTCTGGCAGCGCCACCTTAATGGCGACAGTGAAATTACTGCCAATTGCACACCGAACTCCGCCAAACCAAATGGTGCGTGCCTTGCCACCTGCTGGGAAAGGAAGAGCCATGTCGTGGCGTATTATTTTAATCATCGCTCGACAGAATAGAATAAAAGGCCGGCAAAATTAAAATGCAGATCATGTCCCAAGAGGCCCCACATTTATATCCAAACACGTTGCTGTTGCACACAATGACGCCTGATCCAAGGTTTTAAATTCCGCAAAAAATAAAATTCAATCACCATAAAAATGCCGAGTATTTTTATTCCTATCCCAACACTGTATCCAGAGATTCATCCTGGTAAAATCGCAACTGACCTTGTGTAATGAACGTCAATAGTAAAGTCAAGATAAATCGAATTTGGCTTGTATGAGTGGCTTCCATGGAAAACAACTTGAGATTTGTATTGAAAACAAATCCCACCCCGCGCAAATTCGTATCTGGCACGGCCATTCTTGAATTTGCTTCCCCCTGTGCATTACCCTCTCCACAGCAGAAGAGACATGTCGGCGTTCGACAACAAGAAGCCTCTTCTTGACGATGAAGACCAACTGCCGGAATCGTACAAGTCTGTCAACATGCGAAGCATCCAAGACGCTTACCGGTCGGTGCAGTCCCCTCGACACAGCTTGTACAGTACGATCCATGCTGGGAACGGCGTCGAGTCCATGCTAGCCGGCGGGTTGGACCGATTCTACGAAAAGTACCGCGCTTTGTCCAGCAAGGTCAACCTCCACTTGGCGACCCCCGAAGTCCGCTTCGAGAACTTGAACTACGTTGTTCAGGCGCGTCAAATGACGTTGGCCGAGAAGCAGGGCACGGTCGGGTCGTACGTCGGTCGCATGTTCACCCCGTTCAAGCAAGCCGTGTACAAGGAGCAGGTGGTGCTGCAGCCCATGAGCGGTATCATCAAGCCTGGCAGCATGACGCTCATCCTGGCCAACCCTGGGTCGGGCAAGTCGACTTTCTTGAAGGCGTTGGCTGGTAAGCTGGACCAGAACAAAAAGTGCGCCCAAGGCGGCGACATCACATTCAGCGGCTTGAAGACGTCGGACATCGACACCAAGAAGATCGTGGGGCTGGTCGACCAGCGAGACAACCACGCGCCGACGTTGACGGTGCGCGAGACGTTCAAGTTCGCCGACATGTGCTTGAACGGACCCCCAGAAAGCCAGCCAGAAGAGCTGCAGGAAGTGGCCAAGCTTCGCACGGAAATGATCATCCAGTTGTTGGGGCTGTCCAACTGCGCCGAGACGGTCGTGGGCGATGCGCTTCTCCGTGGGTGCAGTGGAGGCGAACGTAAGCGCGTGACAGTGGGTGAGATGCTCGTGGGCGGCCAAAGCGTGTTCTTGTGCGACGAAATCAGTACCGGGCTCGACAGTGCGGCGACGTTTGACATCGTCACGTCTTTGCGCACGTGGTGCAAGACGTTGGGTGGCACAGTGGTGATCGCCCTCTTGCAGCCCACCCCCGAAGTGGTCGAGCAATTCGACGACATCCTCATGCTCAACGAAGGGTACATGGTGTATCACGGCCCCCGCACGTCCATCCTGCCGTACTTTGAGAACCTCGGGTTCTACTGTCCGTTGCGCGTGGACCCGGCCGACTTTTTGATCGAAGTCACGTCTGGCCGCGGCAAAAAGTACTTGGCCGCCGACGACCGCCACCGCAAGATCCCGATTTACGCGCACGAGTTCAACCAAGTGTTCAACGAGTCCGACATGAACAAGGTGACGTTGACGGACCTCGCGGCGGGTTTCACCGTGCCTAGCCATTTGCAAACCCCCCAGGACTTTGAAAAGATGAAGAGTGTGACTGCGATCGCCCGTACGAAGGAGACTTCCCCCTTCGCCATGGGGTTCTTGGAAAGCACCGTGTTGCTCTTGGGTCGCCAGAAGACGCTGTGGTTGCGCGACCGCCCGCTCTTGTGGGGCAAGTTGACCGAAGCGCTGATTGTGGGGTTGTGCATGGGGGCCATCTACTACAAGCCAGCCCCGAGCATCTACCTGCGCATGCTGTTTTTCTCGTGCGCGGTGTTCCAGCGGCAAGCGTGGCAGCAGATCACGATCGGGTTCGCCCTTCGCTCGGTCTTCTACAAGCAGCGATCACGCAACTTTTTCCGCACCGTGTCGTACACAATTGCGGAATCGATCGTGCAAGTGCCTGTCAACCTGTGCGTGTCGCTGCTCATGTGCACGTTCTTCTACTT